GCCAAACCTATTTTAAAATTCAGTCTACACTTTACAAGCACTCGAATGGTTGTAATAAAAGGTAGAGGAGGTGGTACCAAGTACTGGTGAGAATTGGAGAGACTGAGGGTGAGGCTGGTTTGCAAGCACTGCCCCTCAAAGCTGAAGATGGCGCACATGTGGCTCAACTAGGCCACTCTTTTTTTAATCTTTATGTTTATTTACTAGACTTTTTTTTTTTTTTGAAACAGGGTTTCTCTGTGTAGCCTTGGCTGTCCTGCACTCGTTTTGTAGACCAGGCTAGCCTCAAACTCACAACAATCCACCTGCTTCTGCCTCCATGAATGCTGGGATTAAAGGCATGCACCACCATGCCCACTTTTACTTTATTTATTATCGTGTGTCTATGAGGTGGGTGGGTGAGCAACTAGGTACATGGGTGCTACACTGTGTATGTGAAGGCCAGAGGATGACCCTGTGCAGTTGTTTCTATCAACATTTACATGGTCCTGGGGATTGAACTGAGGTCTCCAGCCTTGTGCAGCAAATGCCTTTACCCACTGAGCCATCTTTCCAGAGTTCAGGTTTCTGCATGAAAGCTCAAGTGTTAGCACAGTCACAAACATGACTACCACTTGTTTACCTGAGGTGAACAGTAGGAGTACTCTGTTCATTTCTGTGAAAACCTCTGAGACACCCACATGTGAGCATGCATACTTCCACTCAAATTATGTCCATGAAAAGAGAGGCTAAGTTAAGCTCTCAATTCTATGAAGGAACTACTGTGCCTTGAAACAGCCATCAACTATTCAGAACGTGGTTGCAATGGTTCATCTGCCATATAGAATAAGGTCTTGATCTGGCCAGTGGCTCAGTAGGTAAAGGAATATGCAGCCAAGCCTGACACCCTAAGTTCAGGTGCCAGGAGCCACACGGCAGAAAGTGAATGTCGATCACTGTATTCAGACCTCCACACCCACACACTGCATACACACCCACAGTAAGAAATGTTCTTGAACAGAATTTTGTAAAACTCATCCACCACCCTGTCTCTACCCAAACTGCTTCCACTGATCTCACAGAACGATCACACTAGCAAATGTGTCTTTGGGTGGGCTTGCCAGAATATTGGTGAGGCCTGTAATCCCAGCAAATGACTTAATGAAACTGTCCCAAATGAAAAACACAAGAGATCTGCCTTGCCCTGGGTTCAGTCCCTAGTACTAGGACCCAAGAACGTGACTCTTTGGTGCTCTACAATGAAATGTGCTACCATTTGGAAGGTGTGTCCAACTCATGGAACCAATTCTGAACACCTAACCAATAAATTCTATTAAAATGCAGACTTGTGCATAAGATCCATTCAGAGCCCATTGCAACACTGAGTATGAAAGAAAATCATCAAATAGGATTTCAGATTCCATGTTGCAACTAACCTTTGAGAACATGCCAGGCCAGCTGTGGTGGTATACGCCTTGAATGCCAGCATTCCAAAGGCAGAGGCAGGCAGATCTCTGAGTTCCAGGACAGCCTGGTCTACCAGAGTGAGTTCCAGGACAGCCAGGCTACACAGAAAATTTCTCTCTGGAAAAAAAAGAAGAAGAAGAAGAAAAAAAAAAGAGCCACTTGTTGAGCTTTGATGACATACTGAACAAAAAAATGCAGGCTCTATGACCTATCCTTCACAACCATTAACTGTGTCTGCCTGGATTTTCTCCATACACACACTTCAACCTAAACAACACACTGCAATAGATTGAATGCAGAAGCAGACATAACCTACCTGTTTGTATTATTTTACATTAAAATTTTTATAAACCCTAAATCTGGGGAATAGCTCAGTGGTGGAGGCCTTCCTTGCCTAGCACATTCCAAAAAGAAAGTGGTGGGGGCAGAGCGGTTGAGAGAAGAAAGGGAAAGGAGAGAAGAGATGGACATAAAAAAGAGTCCTGAGATCAAGTGTTAAATATCTAATTTAAGAACAGACTTTGAATATAGCCTACACAACTCATATTAATATAAAAATCCAAAATCACAAACCTTCTGATATCACAAACATGATGTCACAAATGGAAAATTCACAGCTGACCTCACTTGACATATTATAGCCAAAATGTATGTACACTAAAAACTTTTATATAAGATCACATTCTACCCAAGAATAATGAAAATATAAATGTCTCTCCTGTTCACCATCTTCAACATCTCTTTAGATGTATGAAAATCCAAACTATTCTAATAAAACACCTCTGGGCCCAAGAATGTCAGGTCAGAGGTGCTTGAGGTGTATCAAATCCCTGTAAACCAAGAGCAAGCACATGGGGCCTAGAGAGATGGCTTAGTGGTCAAGAGCACTGTCTGCTCTTCCAGAGAGGTTCTAAGTTCAATTCTAGCAACCAAATGGTAGCTTACAACCACCTATACTTGGATCTGATGCCCCTTCTGGGAAGAGAAACCCATTTTCCTAGAAAAATTACATAAAAGCTGAAAATGAACACAATGTCAAATCAAAACATTTTATGTAACATCAATAAAGAAGACAAAACAGAATATGTAGATAAAAATAATTTTGTAAGCCCAGAGTGGCAGCACATGCCTTTAACCAGCACTCTCGGGAGGCAGAGGCAGTCCAGCCTAGTTTACAAAAGGAGTCCAGGACAGCCAAGACTACCCAAAGAAACCCTGCATTAAAAAGCAAACAAAAAGTTGCTTTGTAATTCCTAGAAACCTCTATGTGCCCACTGGTATTTTAATAATAACTCCAATAGCAACATATGACAGTCAGAGAAACAGTCAATAACAAACTGGAAAATAGGTGATTAAAATAGCAGCCACCACCAACATGAGGGAGACAGTCCAAGGTTCTGTCAAAGAGGACAGGCAAGGATACTCAGTTCTCCAGAACATCCCAGGGCACTCAGCTCAGGGTGTACCTGCTCTATTTACAACTGACATGTTTCCAGGAACGACAGTGACCACACTCTCACAGCTTCAAAAAGAAAATGGATCACAGGAAATTCATCTGTGCTGATGCTGCCCACTCTGTCATACTTCAGGAAAACAGTAGCAGGAACAGTAATGCCTACTGAGCACTTCCTGTGAAGTCCGAACTGTGGAAGAACAGCACACTGTCCTGGCTTACTTGGTGTTTGAGATCATCCTAAGGGCACAGACACCATCATTCCCATTTTGGCACAGAGAGAACTGGATCCAGAAAATAACTTGCCTACAGCAAGCCAGGACACACACTCAGCCACTCCATCTAAGCCCCATTCCTCAAACACTGCACCACACAACACACATACTGTGACCCACAGTAACGTGAAGGTCAAGGCAGCAAGGACCTTCAGCCATTCCCAGTGTCTACACTGACAACCACTGCTGAACCAAATCCTAAGCAATGTGCAGAGGATCACTGATTGCCATTACTACTGTTTAACTTTCAGCGCTGAAGGCAGCAAACAAGAGTAGATTCTGACTACTGTGGAAGATTAAAGGCAAAATCCAAAATGCAGAATAAATACAAGTCAAAATATTTCTGGGCTTGCATCTCTACTAATGCAGGTGAATAGTTAAACAGCAATGCAGCCAGACTTTGTAAACCGAATGCTTCAGTTCAAGGAGAATAGCAAGATGGTTCTGCAAGCAGAGGCACTTTGCCCATGACCACCTGAGTAACATCCCCCACACCCAAAAGGTCCAAGAGAAAACCAAAGCTCTCAAGTCTTCTGATCTAAACACACACTGACAGACACAGACAGACAGACACACACACACACACACACACACACACACACACACGAACGCACCCACTAAATAAATAAAAGCAGAGATACTCAATCCAAATCTATTGGAAAAGCTTTATAAAAATTGCTACCATGCGGTGGTTAAGGGCGCTGCTGTTCTTCCAGAGGACCTGGGTGGGTCTGATGCCTAGCATCCACATGGTGGCTCACAACCATATTTAATTCCAATTCCAGGGAATCTGACACCCTCTTCTGACCTCCTCAGGAATCAGGTACGAATGTGGTGCAAATTATGCATGCAGGCAAACACTAAGCACGTATAAATTAAATCCTTAAAAATTTAAAATTGCTACCACAAAAGCTTAAAATAATATATCTGACATACTGTAATATTGGTCAAACACAAAAGGCGTCTGTTTCCAAGTTAAACGGAGATTACAATCATAAACACTGATCCATCAATTCAAGACAAAACTCTGCAGTCATTCAAAATGAAGGTGTAACTTCACCGTAAAATGTGACTGAGGAGAAGCGGAACGGGAAACCGAGCAAAGCAGGAGAAACCCGGGTGGACTAAGGCACCGCCAAGTGCCTCTCTTTCGGGGGATCTGATTACAGATCTGCAGGTCTTTAGTTTTGACATGTGGCCCACGTTTTAAAATCCGTACCATTCAAGCGCCTTAAATAAATCATTTCCTTTTTTTGCCAACTAACCCGAAAACATTCCAAAACACAATTACAAAAATAACCTCCTCCTATCTCAGGAAAGCGAGGGCGAACTGTGAGACTAATTCAGAAGCTGGCCAAGCCAGAGCGAGCGCTCGGGATGGCCACTCGTCTCTGTGGACTACAAACTGCCGGGCACCGCATGGGTACCGTTACCATTCCGAACACCTGGAGGGAGGACTCGCCACAGAGAACCTGCAAAGCCAGCGGGGTCGCCGTCGTTACCTCACACAACGTGCGAGCCCTTGGTCCGCGGACGAGCTTTAGACCGTCAACGTCCACCCCGACCACCCGGGGACGTGTGGAAACTGCCTTCCGCAGCACTAAACTGTCAGCCAGCAGCCAATCAAAAGGTCCTGGGGCGCTGCAGGGCGGAGGCCGGGGAGTGGCGGGCAGAGGAGCGCAGCGGGGAGCGCACGGGGCGGCGACGGCCTTGGCTCGCTCGACAGCCAGCCTTCCCTGCCCGGGAGCGCGCCTCGCCCCCGCCAGGTGAGCTGAGGCACCGCCGGGAGCCGGCGAGCTGGACGCGCGGACGGCGGGGACGCTCACCGGCTCGGCGTGGGCGCTGGCGGGGGCTGCGCTCGGCCTCCGCGCCCTAGGCTCCGGGGGCGCACGGCGGGTCCCTCGCCGCCCGCCGTCCGGTGTTTTCATACAAACCCGGGTGGCTGGAGAGGCGGAGGCGGCGAAGACGGCTGCGGAACCGGCCCGCATCCCGGGTAACGTCAGCGCGGCGCCCCGCCCAACTCACGCCTCGGACAGCCGGCTCGCGTGCGCCCGCAGGGCGCGTGCGCGTGGGGGAGGGGCGCCCCCAGGAGAGGCGGGACGTGGGAGAAGGGAGGGCGCGGGCGCCGCCCGCTGGCGGGGCGTGGCATCCGGAGGGGCGGGCCTGGGGAGAAAAGGAGAGCGGCGCGTGCGCCAGTGGGTGCCCAAGGGCGGGGCGGGGCGGGGCGGGGCGGGGCGGGGCTAGGAAGCGAAAGGACCTAGACCCTGCCTCCCTGCTATGCGCGCTCCTGCCTTTGAGTACCTGAGGGCCACCGGCCAACGTAAACGAGCTCGCTTGCTAGCGGATCGACACGCTTCTCAAGTTGCCTTCTTTTTTCTTCCTCCCCGGAGCCACAGCTGTCAACCACCCACGCTGAAAGGAGGCTTTTTTGAGGCTGGGGCCTGGTTGTCTTAGCGCCCCAGATCCTACCAAATCTTGGGGATGCGGTAAGGCTATTCCTTTCCTGATCCCAAGCTGACCCAGTACAGGCTGGGAAGACTGCCGCCTGGCTTCCTCGAACAAGAACTGCAACCCGGGTCAAACCCGGGTAAATGAGATAATCTGACGGTCTGGGGAACAAAACGCTGTGCCGATTCATTTCCAAACAGTGTCCCAGTGTTTAGTCTCGGAAACGTTGCTGCGAAGTTGCTCGCTAAGGACAAAGACGCGTGGGAGAGAAATTACAGAAACACACTTGTGTTTTGACTGTGTTTAAACACTCCGAGATACGTTGTTAATAAAGACATCATTTGCCTTTTCAAGGAGTAAGGGATATAAAATTATCACAGCAGGATAGGGGACTAAACTGAGCCCCGTGAGGTTTTTATTTTGTTCTTACGGTTTTGTTTAAACAAAATTTAGCAGGTTTGTGAAGGCAATTCAAACCGTAATTTAAGGTGTGAAACTGTGCTTCCGTGCAGTTTGTTCTTGGCATATCTCTTTACTGAGGGGCAAGAGACTGCCATTTTATAAATGTTACCGTTTTCCCCATGTGAGCACAAAACGATATAGCAATTAAAATATCTTTAAACCACTCTCCACTCTCCACCCCTAACTTCCCAATCTGAAAACATGATTACCTAAGGGTATTTAACATTTCCAAATAAGTAAATACTAGTATTCCTGAGACATTACTCAAAGAACATGTTTCTAGGTAACTCAACTTGCAATATAGGAAGACACAGACATAAATGTGAGCGTGCATGTGTTAGAATTTGAATTCCTCTTTAGCAAAGTACTGTCAGAACAAAGGCCCAGAAACTTAGCCCAGGCAGCTAGGAAAAGAGCAGTATTATTGGCTTTGAAATTATTGCAAACACTTAATTTGCAAATGAGTGACATATGTTTGGCTATTGTAAAATCTGAAACATACACATCTGGAGAGTGATGTGACCCCTTGTCAGACCAACATATGAGTTCCCAGCCTCAACTACTACAACTTAAACACATATAAACACAAGATTTGACAAAAAGTTCCAGCACTCAGGAAGTAAGTAGCACCACAAGCTCCAGCTGTTTTCATAACCCTCAGCTATCTACAAACCCTCACCCAGAGCTCCACTGTTGGACCCCTTCTCGTCCCAGAACAGCTCTTTTGAAGGCTTATCTCAATCTTTGATTCCTCCATTTCCCTTCTCCCCAGCGTTCTTCTTTCATCCTAACTGAACAGTAGCTGAATGGAAATAATTTTCAAACCTCACTCATTGTGTAGCTAATATGCTTCATCTATCAACTGTGTTATCTGTGACTTGTTCTAATTGTCTCAAAGAACACGTAAAGTGGGGGAAATCCTTTGTGTGGCAAAATTCTAAAGTGATACATAAGGCATGGCTCAGACATGTTTTGCATGTCTGAGATCCCCAGTTCAGTACCAAGCACCACAAAAATAATAATAATAACTTGTAAAAAAGAATCATCAAATGTAGGTCAATCTAAATAGATGAGAATAATCACATGACTTGCACGGCTCAGCTCAGCCTGGGTCTGCATAGCTATCCCATACAATTTTGCTTATTTCAGCTTTTGTGTGGAGAGTATAGCTTGCTCTCTTTTGCTGATTTCTTTACCTCTGAACCTTTATAAAGTGGTTTACAAAATGCAACGACTTAATTGTGAAAATGTAGCTGAAAGAACAACCATGGGGCTCTCTGGAAGTCTGCAGTTTCTATGTGAAGCATAAACTTTAAGAGAGCAAGATCGGTCCCGACATTTCTGAAACCTGATGGGTCCTCTGGAGTGGCAGGATTGTTGTAGTTCTTCATTATATTCAATAGCCAGCAATTTACTGAGCACCTAGAGATCTAGATCAGCCAGAGATCTTTGGGAAAATTAAGCAAGTAATTACACCGGACAAAATATTTAACAACTGTCCTGTGTCCATCTAAAGGGTTTGCCACAAATAGGCCATAGAACAGAAATGTAGGATGAATAACTTGAGCTGAACCAAAATAAATGTGGCCAAGCTGGGGACTTGAGGAAGAACCCTTTTATGGCATACAATGGAATGGATCTCGTTACAAAAGCTTTTACTATGGTTTCTATCTGGTGCCTGCAAATGACATGGTATTCAGCCCAGAAACCTTGTGTAGCCCTGGCTGTTCTGGAACTAGCTCTGTAGACCAGGCTGGCAAAGATCCACCTTCCTCTGCATCCCAATTTCTGGGATTAAAAGTATGGGCCACCACCACCCAGGGAAAACTAAATCTTAAACCAGCATACATTTCCTTAGTCCAAGGAAATGACTGGGAAACTGAGATCATTATAAAAATTCTTTTTTGCTTTTTGTTGCTGTTTGTTTGTTTGTTTGTTTGTTTGTTTTTCAAGATGGTTTCTCCATGTAGCCTTGGCTGTCCTGGACTCACTCTGTAGACCAGGCAAACTCACAGAAATACATCTGCCTCTGCCTCTGCCTCCCTGAGTGCTGGGATTACAGGCGAGTGCCACCAAATGGCTTTTTCTTATTTTCTAAAGGGCCAGCCTGCTCAGTGGTGAGAGCACCTGCCACCAAGCCTGAGGACCTGAATCTAATCCTTTGAACCCATATGGAAGGAGAAAACCAGCTTCAAGTTGTCCTCTGACTTCCTCACTTGCCCTTTGGGAAAGGTACTTAACTGTAGATGTATAATCCTACATGGAGTATTTAAAGAACTCAGTACTATCAAAATATACATGTATTAGAAAAATACCAATGTATTTTTTACAATTTGCTAGAGCCAGAATGGGGAAATACTATCATATTCCTATATCTTGTATGTCTTTAATGTATTTAAAGTTATTGAAAACAAAACTGAAGAGGGTTTCCCTCCATATTGCATGATCACTGAGGTCCACAAGTTCTAGATTCTCCTCTTTATACTCACCGAGATGTGCAACCTCTGTGCCTGCACAACTGTATCTTCGGTGGTAGTTTTCTTCCATTCTTTTTGTTGTTTTGAGACAATGTCTTGATATGTAACCCATACTGACCTAGAGCTCACTTTTTAGACCAGGCTGGCCTTAAACTATCTCACAAAGATTGTCTGTTGCCTGGGATTAATGGTGTGGTACCATTCCCACCCCTCTTCCTTCCTTCCTTCCTTCCTTCCTTCCTTCCTTCCTTCCTTCCTTCCTTCCTT